TATATATATATAATACTAAACGAAATGGGCTTCATTCAAAACGATTGGCGAAAGTATATAGAGTATATTCTATATAGTTATATTGTTGCGAATTGCTACTGTTTGTATACAACTCGAAACTTTTCGGCCTGCCCTCGCACTCATTTGCCGGTGTGCGTGTGGGTCGACCAATTGGTCGATCGACTCGACGCTCATAAATATAAAGCCGCTTTGCAAAAATTTTGAAGTCAGTTCGCAGTTTGGCAGCAAAAGAAATCGTCGTGAGATCGCGGCGTGTTTTCGCTATCAGCGCGTGTTGTTTGCATTATTGTGAATATTCGTGTGTGTTTGTATGTGTTAAGTGTCTGCGTTTATATTTAATGTTAACATCGAATGTGTCTTTAAGTCGCGCATTAAATTAAGTCTCTGACTCTGACTCTGACTCTGACTCTGGAAAATCGCCAAGTTATATAAAAAAAAAAATTTGTGCAATTGCGTTTTGCGTGTTCTGACTAAATTAATTGCAAGAAAAAAAAAAAAAAAAAAAAAAAAAAAAAAAAAAAATGAACAACGAAAGGTAAATGTGAAAGGCATAAAACATCAACGCAAAAACGAGAAATTATTTTCACGAATCACTACTGTTTGACTTAGTCTGCCCGACTTATTTTGCATATTCAACCAAATAGACTTTAAGCCATGACTCTTACAATTTGTTGTTGTTGTTGKTATTGCTGTTTGTATTCCATATTGCAACACGATCTGAGTTGTTCGGTCTTCTGCTCCAATATTCGTCCAGTTTCGCTGATAAGGCTGCTGATAACACTGAGTCTCAGTCTGCGATCTTAAAAAAAAAAAAATAAAATAAAATAAATAAATAAAAATTAAAATTAATGCGAAATAATAATTTTTATGTACATAAAAAAGCAATTTGCATCATTTTGTGACGGGACGTTGGGCAAATATATGCAAAGCAAATTTCGGTCGATCGATAGCTTCATATTTAATGCCTAATCTTGGCTTTGTCACTCGATGACAACCCACAAAAATATTTAAATTTTATTGTCGATTCGAATACGAATTGCTTTTGTGACTAGACTTAGGTAGTTGAGTGTAAATTGTTATTGAAAAAACAGATAAGATATATCTGTGCTATGGCAACCAGAAATATATGAGAAATACGGCTATAAATAGAAATTAATGAATGTAGAAGCTCGCGAAGGAGATTGAAAGAGCTCCCTGAGCTATACTTATGCAGATGTACAGATAGTTTCTGTTCAATTTTAGTATTTTTTTACATATACTAAGTAAATATTTGTAGATGCTATTGTTTGGTGAACATTATTCAAATACATAGATATCAAAACATGTATGTAATCTAGATAAATTTATAGTCGATTGGGCTTGTCCACATATAAGAACCGTGTATCTAAATTTATATAAAATATTCAACTTTGTTTTTTAAGTAATTTATTTCGCAATGACCACTTGACATGTTATTCAGAGTGCATTAACACGTTTTAAGGTATCCAATAGTATTATCAACATTATCTATTATAATAAGCATTGTACCAATATATCAATCAATCAATAGTTACGAAAATCAGTCATGATCCCAAAAAAAAA